TACTACTCCAGCCTCGGTCATATCACTTAATATACTGTCACAGAAACAAGGGGTGAAATCCCATCACTGCAGCTTGGAACTTTAATCACCAATACAAAGACTAGCTTTTTATTTAGTCAGCTCAATTTATAAACTACCAGACTGTAGCAAAACCTATACAGTTCGCGAATGTCTTTTAAAAAAGAAAATCTTTTATCCTTGTCCTATAATGGGATTTCAGACCCATAGCAATGTCATTGATTCTTAAATGACCTCAGAAATGGCCTAGCAAACCAGTTATTTTAGAAAACTTGCAAAAAAAAAGTAATATCAGCATCAACCTAAGCACAGGTATTAGATTACAATATAGACACATTGAGGAAAAACCCCAAAGTCATCCAGAACAAGTTATGCGGTCTTGAGCTTTTGAAAGAGCTGTCTCACTAGCTCATCATACATTCTATGCCAATCATACATTTTAATAATTTCAGCAATTTTGATTATGTCCCATCCTACCAGCAGAACTAACTCAACATATATGGCAGCAAAATGGCATATAATGGAGAGGGAGTCCCAGGATCTTACCATTATTTGTAAGAGTAACCACCTTTTGGATGTAAAGTTCCATCTTCACACATTATTATGCATAGATTACTTCATTTTAAACATAAGCTGCCCTATCACAATACCAAATTGGACAGATTAAGAACAGATCCAGCAACTTTAAACTAGTTTTCTATGATGCACTGTGAGCCATTAGCAATGGAATGGTATTCCATTACAATCTGTAACCTCAAGACACAGCATGTCCTCACTCTAGCCTGGAGATCAACCATGACTGACGTGTGTGGAAGAGATAGCAGAAGCAGTGTCATTCATACCTGAAAATGAGATGCCAAATTGATAAAGTTAACATGGGACAGATTAAAATAGACAGAGTGAAGGGATTTCAAAATCAACAGATAAGACCTTCATCGTCCTGCCACACTTGAGTTTGAGTCTGATTTATTTTTATCACATGTACAGAGATACTGTGAAAAGTATTGTTTTGCATGCTATCCAGGCAGATTGTACCAAAAAAGTGCAGAATACTGTGTTTTAGCTGCAGAGAAGGTGCAGAGAAAGAGAGATCCACATTAATATTTGAGAGGTCCATTCAACAGTATGATAACAGCAGGGAAGAAGCTGTCCATGAATCTGTTTGTACATGTAATCAAACTTTTATATCTTTTGCTGACAGAAGAGGGCGGAAGAGAGTATAACTGGGGTGGGTGGGATCTTTAAGTATATTGGTTGCTTTCCCGAGGTAGCAGGATGTATAGATGGAGTCAACAGATGGAAGACTGGTTTGTGTAATGGATTAGGCTATGTTCATGACCCTCTACAGTTTAAACGACAGCAGACAATTAAAAGGAAAAAAGGAGTCTGTGAACATTTTCATTCTCAATGTTGATGGAGCCTGATATATCAGTGTAAATGCTTCAGCCTTGTCCTTTGCAACCATCCATTGACAATAGCGCTTAATGGTCGAATGATCTGGGCTTCCTCTGGAGGTCTGCATGATCACAGAAGCTATGCTCTAGCCAATTTAGTTCACTGCATGTAATACAGCAAACTTTGTTTTAAACCAGCACCTTATCAACTGGCACTCTTGATAAACTGGCAAAAATTATACACCTCAAATATCATGATCTACCGTGATGTCCAAGTATTTATGCTGCAAATAAAGAACAATAGTGAGCTGCATACCCCTGCATTACATTTCTATTACTTACTGCGTGTTTTCACATTGATTTCAGGTGGTGTGTTGATGCTTTTACAGCAATTTTTTGAGGGATATTGTTGTCTCGAAGCTTCACTTGGTCAAATTTTACTGTGGTTATGCATATCTCTTAATTATCTGGAATATTTGATCAACTGACAACAATAAACCCTGGTCCTATAGGTGCTGGTTGATTAAAAAGTCTGTTGTGCTAAGAAATGGCTGAGCACATCAGACATATCAAGGCTCTATGTCCGACAACACTGTCAGTAGTACCAAAGACCTGTGCTTTAGAACTAGTTTCAGACTAAGCTGTTTCAGAATAATGCAGCAATAACATTTACTCAAAAGAAATTAAAGTTGCCCAATTATGCCTTAGGATGAATCCAGTCCAGCCAATTACTGTCCAGTCAGCATATTTTAAATGGTTTGTTCACGGGAGGTGGATATCTCAGATTGCTATTGTTCATCTCAGGAAATGATCAGATGTCTCTTTGAACTGCTGCAATGTGTGGAGTAGGTACGTCCACAGTGCTGTTAGATAGGGAGTTCCAGGCGCAGTGATAATGAAGAAGTGGCGTAGTGATATAGTTCCAAGTCAGGACGGTGTACAATTTGCAAAAGGGGTGTTCTCACCTGGCTTCTGCTCTTGTTCTTATTTAATGTTATAGAGATACTGCTATAAAGAAAGAAAGTTGCTGCAGTTTATCTTGTACCCTACTCTGAGATATCAGCAAAAAGTTCAGAAAAAAAAAAAGAGAAATCAGTGCAAACAGCATTTACTGTCAAAAAAATCAGCTCACTGATGCTCTGTTGGGTTTTTCCAGAACCATTTGGCCCCAGATCTCATTCCACAGCCTTGATCCAAAATTTAATTCCAGATGTGATTTGAGACTTAAGGTCTTGTCATCGAGGCAACACTTGGTCAAATGTGGCTCTCAAAACTGCAGTCAGTACGCACCAGGAAGAAAATCTCTCCCAGCTGGCGTCATGCCTGATGCAGTGGAAGATGGTTGTGGTTGGAAGCCAACTCACAGGACACTACTGCAGGGTTTCTGAGGGTAGTGTCAAAAAAGCCCAACCACCTCCGTCTTTGTCCTTCCCTCCAAAATAAGAGCTGATGCTTATACATGTTGAGTTTCATTTACAACTCTTCAGATAATGTAGTAATGTATATCAGGACAACATTCAAGCTTGCATTGATAAGTGGCAAGTGGAGGTAAGGCAGATCATGACCATCTCCAGAGGGACTAAACAACTATTCTTGACATTTAATGCGATTGCCCTTGGAAAATTCCCTAAAATCTGCGTCCACTACTGAGTGGAAATCTAACTAAGACAGCCACGTAAATACCTTGGCCACATTGGCAAGTCAGAGGTTTGATATTCTGCAGTGAGTAAAATTAATCTGCCATCAAGGCAAAAATTGGAAATCTTCACTTGCAGCGACAAGAATACCTCAAAAAGTCTAGCATCCTTCAGGTGAAAGTAGCCACCTAATTGGCACTTAACACCCCTATTCCCTCCTTATAGACACACTCCCTTCACCTGCAACACACACTGAAGTACGTACTATCTACAAGATCCAACATAGCAATTTTCTTCTGTTTTTAAAAAACCTCTGAAACATACAGTTGGAAATTTACAAGGAAAAGGGCAACGGATACATGGGAACTGCACCTCTTGAGTTTCCGTCTAAATCATACACCACCATAACTTGGAAATATACCACTGTTCCTTTACTGTCCTGGGGTCAAAGTCCAGGAGTTTCCTCACTATCTGTCTGGGAGTATCTTCACCCCATGGACAGCAGCAGGTAAAAACAATAGTATACCACCAAATTCTGAAGGGCAATTAGACATGGGCAATAAATACTAGTCTCAGCATTGACATCCACAACCTGAAGGTTAATAAAGAGAAAATAAGCAGCAGTCTGATAGCTTTCAAGCTTTTCTTTCCCCCCTCTGTGAGATAGAGAGCCTAATCCCTACTACATATATCAACATATTTCTGTTGAAAAGGTATAGTTTTTAAATAGTAGTAAATATTTTCAGATAAAGCATTCAACAATAACTTTGGTCACTTTGTTAATCATGTAATAATACTATACACAGATCCATCCAGACAATTTGATCAAGCTTTGAGATTGCTGTGGTCTGCTTTATTGAAGTACTTGCAATCCCATGGTCTCATTACATTTGTTACACTAAATAGATACATCGGATTAGTTCTAAAGTCACTGGTGTGATCCCAACGATTATCTCTCATCACATCTTTCACATCTGAACACTGTCTCTTAACAACATCATTTGAAGAGAAGTGATTTGCAATGTACCACTGATGACAAGTACTCCATGTTCTCCAGCATCTCTCTCAACCCTTTATTACCTCCGGGTCATCAGCCTGTCCACATTTAGTCCAGAATGAGGTGTGATGTTCTCCAGCTAAACATCAACTTCACCCTCACGGCAAATTCAGTATACTTGTCGTACTCCCTTTGATGTTTTCTGCCACTGACTCAGGTTGAAGCCAACACTTCCTAAGCAAGAAGTCCTGTTACACCTGTACTGAATAGAATTTCAAACCTCCTTATAACCACTGGAGATGGTTATTGAGTGGAATTTACAGGTCAAGTTGGGAGTGAAAAATAATCTGCCTCAAATTACTCATATTAAGACCCGTAAACAGGCATTTAGCACCTCTAGACTCAACGATTCCAGTGTTCAGCTGGTCATTCATCCCATCCCCAGAACATTAGCTCACCTTAAATCCTGATGTATGTTATCTACGTCAGCACTTGATTATCCACCACTACTAACTTAAAATTCAAATCTCTTTGTGGCCTCACTGCTCCCATCTCTAATCTCTTCCAACTGTAAACCAGTCTCTACCAACCAAGGCTGCCCCACTCTTCCTGTGTCCAAGTCTCCAAAATCCTTCATCTCTCATGTTACTTTGAATACTGTATCCTTCTTTCATGATGACTGTGAATATGTACAATGAACTTTTCTACCTGGAGAAAGAGAACTTGCTCTCTTACAAGAAGCTAAGATAAGGAATAAAATAATGGTCACTCATTTTGAATGAATAATGATTATACACTTCTGAAATATTCCTCATTTCTTGTGAATACAGTACTGCAAAGGATTAATACAAGTAAATGAAATAATTTCCTTAATAGCAATTACTAATCAGAATATGGCTTTGGCAATGAGTCAAGGAATTAAATCCGACTGATAATGAAGTGATGTGCAAATACCTGTTAGACAAGAGCTGAGACTTTGTTCCAGATGGAGAGGTCAGGTATATTGCCAGGTCACCTCGTCGAGGGTGAGAAATAGTAACTCGGACAACAACGTGTTCCAGGTAAATCACACGGTGGTTTGCATTGTCTAAACAGCCAGTGGCTTTGTAGACTGCTCTTACATGATGTTCAGGACGGATAGTTCTGCAACAAAAAAGTCAAAGTGATTTGAGGTAAACTACTAAGTCGAATGTCTCAGCCTGGGCTGATATCCTTTCAAAGATGAGGCCAGTTACAAACTATTGCTACTACAACTGTCTCAGTAACAAGACACAAAAACAGTAGCAATTGCTATTTACAAGGACAGTTCACAAAATCATTTTATTGCAAGGTATCCTATTTATGCCATTCCCATCAGGAATGGTCTACAGGATTCCAGTTCCATTTTTAAAGAAATCAGATAAACATATATCTCTGCAATGAAATTGTAGATTTTGGAACTATTTACCGATTTTCTATTAACTTTTCAAATAGATTTTGTGTTCTCATCAGTTGCAATGTGCTTAAAACCAACTGAACTACCAGAAAATATTGCTAAAAAGAGAGAGATGTTACTAAAGATTTTTGGCTTAGACTCAGAGACAAAACGTGGAACCTGACTTGAACCATATTGCTGTTGTAGGGTTGAAACGCTAGAACTTGATCCCCACCAGCATTGTGGGTATACCTACAGCCAGTGGACAACAGCAATGGAGATTACCAGTTGGTGGTGATGGTCAAGGGGTAATTACTGCTGAACTAGTAAACCACAGGCCGAGGTAATGTTCTGGGGACCAGGTTTGGATCCCACCAAAGCACATGTGGAAACTGAATTGTAATTAAATGTCCACCAATGACCGTGAAACAATTGTCTTAACAAACCAGATTATCAATCAGTAGAATGGAAGAAAGGAACGAAACTGGATGGACCACCTGGCGTAGACAAAGGAACTGGAAATACCAGCTACTAAACAACCCCACTGACCCTGCAAAGTCTAATGTGAGAAGGCTAGGGGAAAAATCGAGACAGTTGTCTCACAGACTAGTCAAATAACAGCTTGAAATAAGCAGATTATTCATAGAATAATTCCTTGCAAAGAACATCCCATAACCATCCTTGGGTATTTCTGTCCCGTCCCAATGGGCAGGACAGATCCAACAGAGGTAGTAGGACAGTGGTATACAGAGGGATCAGCCCCAATAGTCCTCAAAATTGACTCCAGACAATGAAATCTCATGGCATCAGGTCAACCATGTGCACGGAAACCTCCTGCTGCTTACTACGTAACACTCCTCCTTCATTTCAGAAGAAGAATTATTACTCCATGTTGAACAGCACTTAGAAGAAGCAGAGGTTAGCAAGGGCACAGGATGTATTACTACGGTGTGGTGTTGGAGGTTGTGGAAAAGACTTCAAATGACTATCATCAAAAGTAGCTTGGCAGCAGCACTACTGACCCATCTAGTTCAGACCTGAAGGTCAGAGCTGGTAATACTGGCTCTGCAGCAGGTGGTGAGGGAATCAATAAAAAAGGAAAAAAATCTACTTGACCTTGTCCTCACCAATGTGCCTGCCATTGATGTCCATGAGCATATCAGTAAGGTCCTTGTGGAGACAAAGTCACACCCTCACATCGGTAATACCTAACATCATGTTGTATGGCACAATCACTCTGATAAATATGAAAGACTTTGAACTAATCTAGCAACACAAGACTGGGAATCCATGAGACACTATAGACCATGAGCAGCTACTAAACTGTAATCCAGCATAAATTGCAACCTCATGGCCCAGCATATTCCCCACTGAACCATTACCATCAAGCCAGGGGATCAAGAGATAGTAGGAACTGCAAATGCTGGAGAATCAGAGATAACAAGGTGTAGAGCTGGATGAACACTGCAGGCCAAGCAGCATCA